CCCCAAAACCCCAAAACCCCAAAACCCCAATTTATATAATTTATATTGAAATTTTGATGGAACCTACTGGCAGAAATCCCGACAGAAGACTAGATGAAGGCATCAAATGGTACAAACAGCCTGAAGAAGGACCTACTCCAAAACAAGACTCTCAGTTCGATGAACTCAACCTGATCGACACCGATAAGGAAGACGGGATGGGTTCTCCAATTAATAAAAGGCACGAAGGTGATGACATGAACCTCATAAAAGCTTACATCGGCAATCTCCTCTACGAGAAGTGGTTTCTTGAGAACTTTACGATGAATACAGATCAGCTGGACTACATTCCTCCTGACAAACTAAGTACTTTCCTTTGTGAGCTAAGCTATAGAGAATATTGTAAAGAAGAATAAGCCTATTGATTACGAGACTAACACTGTATTTGAGTCTGAATATATTAACGATGAAATGGAATACAACCGTGGGCTTTCCATTTCTTCAGACCCAACAGGTACTTCACAGTTTGGAATTTGGTGATGGGTTTTTGGGCTGGGTTTTGGAGAAGCTGACCTGGTGACAGGCTGCAAAGAGAATTTTATCATTGAGAGAGGTTTTACTGTATCTTGGAGCTAAATTTTGTACCGAAATTTTATGATCTGGCTCAATAGAGATATAGGAAGTCTATCGAAATAGAAGAATCGCCTTGGTGCATGATAGAATGGCCGATTATCGTTCAGTAAATCCGAGGGAAAGGGAATTAATGAGTATGAAAAGACATTTTGCCAGTGCATATCTACCAGATGTTGAGAACCCAATTAAAAGAATGGAAAATAGGATGAGATGTTTCCCAAAATCTATAGTTGATGTGCCAAGGCAGGTTTATAAGCCTGTAAGTAAGATAAATAGAAGTGATGCTACTTCTAAATATGAGATCCATTCTGATGTTGAGGAAAGCTCTGACCAAGATCTTCGTCATGGTATCTATAAATCTAGTAACCTCTAGAAAATAGTCAAGAGCCTGTGACTCTTAATGCCATATTGAACCCGATAAAGAAGATAGAGAAGAGTAAAACTATTGATAGTGAGGCATACAAGAACTCAATTTTTCATCCGGATTACAGGTAAAGATACAAATTCACAAATTTTCATATCTATAGGTTCAAATTCATACATGAAAGAGAAGATCGGAAGAAAGAGAAGGAAGTGAATGACCTTTATTCTGCTCTACTCAAGCGATATGCTGATACCACTGGTGAGGAGTGGACTGATCTCATCTTGAAAGTAAACTCACAGAAAAAGAAGAAGACCAAGAGGACTCATAAGTCCAAGTCTCGTAAATCAAGTGATAATGAGGTTATCAGTATGTAGTTAAAATAGCGATCAAAATTAATCCTTTAGACTTATCAAATGTGGATAATTCATTCATCTCAAAGAATACCAAGGGAGCTAAACGTAGAGGTCAGATCTTCAAGCACTCTGAAAAGAGCTCTCTAAAGGAGAAATGGGATGATGTAGACTGGCAACAGAATGAAAGACCAAAGGAAGGCAGCGAGAGCGGACATACTCAGAGTGAATTTAATAACTCACATGCTGAAAGACACTCTTCTATCAGAGATAGCATTGATAAGAGGAAGACTATAAGCGAACAACAAGATAACGAATCAGTTAAAGCCCTACTTAACGGATATGAAGATCAATCCCTAGACATCAATGCTTACTTTAAGAGGAATTATGGGGATACAAATGAGGTTTACACTGGAAGTCTAGAACAGCTGAATGTCAATAATGCTCTACGCAAAAACACAAAGGACTATTCATAATTTTGCTCATTTATTAGTCTTTGCAGATCACAAAGTCATAAAATTGAGATTATTCTCATTAAAAACTACAAAAATTGCTTAAAATTGATAGTAAAAGGCATTATCATCCAATTTAGAAAGCAGAGTCTCTCCAATTTTTAGGAAAACTCTTATTTACAACCTATGGGCATAATTCTATAGCTTAATGGCCTACAGATAAACCTCAGGTATGTCAACCTGAATTTTTTTAATGGGGTTTTGGGGTTTTGGGGTTTTGGGGTTTTGGGG